CCAGACATTAAACACTAAGTCTTTCTCATCTTGCTAAAACATAAAACAATAATAATTTAATTTCATAATTTGACGTCCCCATCAAGTCACAACCAAATTATGCTGGGAACTGTAGACGCCATGTAATAGAAATGACTCATGCCTCAACACAAACGGATTAAAGGACAACTCCGGCGCAAAATGAACATTTGGTAATTACACATTGGTACATAGTCAACCTTTCTCTGAGATTTGTTTTCATGATTATCGAATTTAAAGAGTTTTATCTCTAAAAACTGTTTCGTTTATAACGCTATATATGGGGCATAGATTAATGAAAATAATAAGTAAAATAATAAGTTAATAACCGTTTAATAAGAAGATATTTTATAAAGACAGTCCACTTCATGAATACAGGCAGGAGCCATCTTTGGAAAACAGTCTCGAGCAGTTGAACCACGGCGTTCGGACTGTCTTTCAAAAAATATCTTCTTATTAAACGGTCTGTACACTTACAATGTTTTGAATGCTTTGGTTTGCATGTAGGGACCCCGATTATGCTACCGTGTTAGTGTTGGGCTATTTTGAGCCTTGTTAGTGGTATTAACTAGCGATTTTTATACTATGCCCCATACTTTTTTATACTTTTACTCTATGCCCCATATACTAACGTTATAAGCTAAACAGTTTTTAGAGATAAAACTCTTTACATTCGATAATCATGAAAACAAATCTCAGAGAACAGTTGACTATGTGTAATTAGACCAAAGGTTCATTTTGCGCCGGAGTTGTCTTTTAAGTAAACTTCCATCGTAACTGGATTGAACATAATGGACTTAAATTGTGACAAAATGATCAATAATTGTTGCATTAGCTTACTTTAAGTAATTAAAATAAGAAATATTTTTTTGAGCGCACCCATGATTTCAGCAGAAATGCAAAAGGCAGAACTAAAGACGTAACTGGAACATAAATTGTATTCAGGAACTGCGAGCAAAGCAAATTTGAAACATTGAAGGACAACTTCCTCGGCTTCCCCTAACAATCATGTTCTTGCTGCTTCCATGCCCTGTGTGTCGAGAGCCGTGGCTTTTTGTGATGCAACAGTGCAAGAAAGTGTTTGTTTTGGTGTGTGAATGATAAAGACACACTGTGTCAGCATGAATGAACCGCAGTAGCTGTTGGTCGAGGGAGTGTACAAGTGATGAAGTGTGAAAGAGAGAAAATAATGAGAATGCAGAGCGAGTGAATGGGGCAGGAACACGAACAGGACTTCATTAGTGACCAAAGCTATAATGTGCTGGATCACCGTAGCCTTATGTGTTCGACGGCCCGCTGTGTGTGAAGAACACCAGACGTGCCCTCGACACACACACACACACACACTCAGAAGTGCATTAAAAAACTCTGGTTATCTGGTATTTTAAAGGAGTAGTTCACTTTAAAAAAAAAAATTTAAACCCCCATGTCATCCAAGATATCCATGTCTTTCTTTCTTCAGTCAAAAAGAAATTAAGGTATTTGATGAAAATATTCCAGGATTTTTCTCCATAATGCACTTTACTGGTAACCAAACGGATCAAGGTCCAAAAGACAGTTTCAGTGCAAACTGTTCAAAGGGCTTTAAACAATTCCAGACGATGAATAAGGGTCTTATCAAGCGAAACGATCGCTCATTTAAAAAATAAATAAAAAAAGTTTAAGTTTTATAAGCTCTAATGGTGTCCTTGCTCTGTTTTTTGATGCGTGTTCGTGACTCTCCTGTTCAAACTTGTTTATCAAAATGAACAAATCTTTTCAAGAGAAATTTCTGAACAAATAGGCTGTTCCCAGAGTGCTGTATCAAGGCACCTCAGTGGGAAGGAAAAAGTGTGGCAAAAAAATGCTGCAAAGCGAGAAGAGGTGACCGGACCCTGAGGAAGTTTGTGGAGAAGGACCGATTCCAGACCTTGGGGGACCTGCGGAAGCAGTGGACTGAGTCTGGAGTAGAAACATCCAGAGCCCCCGCTTCCAGAGAAGCAGCACTGGACTTCAGGCATTTCCTTCTCTCCAGTCTTCCTCCAGGCTTTCATCCAAAAAAAGTGCTTTGGACCACTGAGCAACAGTCCACTGCTGCTTCTCTGTAGCCCAGGTCATGCGTTTCTGCCGCTGTTTCTGGTTCAAAAGTGGCTTGACCTGGGGAATGCGGCACCTGTAGCCCATTTCCTGCACATGCCTGTGCACGGTGGCTCTGGATGTTTCTACTCCAGACTCAGTCCACTGCTTCCGCAGGTCCCCCAAGGTCTGGAATCGGTCCTTCTCCACAATCTTCCTCAAGCCCCGTTCACACCGCCAGCGATTTTGTCGCTGTGTGTCGCTAGGCTCTGTACTGTGATGTCGCTTGTGGGCGTTCGTAGTGCTGTCGCTCTTGTGTTATTGGTAGACTGCACGTCTGGCCATATCTACACAAAAGACCATCACAAGTGATATATAATTTTAATTTGACTGGGAATAAATGACTTTTAAGGCTAAAAAGAAACCATATGCTGTTGGGAGAGTGTTTTTATATCTCCACAGCTGTGTTCAGTGGATTAAATCATTTACTAGATCAACGATCGATCAATGAACAAATTAAACTCACTCATACTGTCACAAATTGTAAAAACGTCATTCGAATTTCACAAATAATCAATTTTCTTGTCCCTAATAGTCAATGTAATGCAGGGGAAATTGTAAAAATTGTAAAAATTGTATGCATCATATAATTACAACACTCGAACTATAACGTTAAATGTATGAATTAAACTCACTGAGACTGTCGACAGTTTCTTTTCCATGCATCATTTTATTATCCATGTATGTGGTTACAGTCAAATCATATAAAACAGTGCAATCGTCCTCAAACTCTTTCTTTCTGTCTTGCCTGCACTGCACTCGAGACGGTGACGTGAGCTGAGCTCCACTGAAAGTCTTCTTTCCTATTGGTTGTCGCTCGCGAAAATCGCTTCTCATTTGCATAAAGTAGAAAATTCTCAACTATTGTCGCTTGTCTCTTGTCGCTTGACACGCCCACATTCTGTCGCCAGCGCTCCATTGAAATGAATGGGATCTTGTCGCTTTGACGCTGCGTGTCGCTGGCGGTGTGAACGGGGCTTCAGGGTCTGGTCACCTCTTCTCGTTGTGCAGCGTTTTTTGCCACACTTTTTCCTTCCCACAGACTTCCCACTGAGGTGCCTTGATATAGCACTCTGGGAACAGCCTATTTTTTCAGAAATTTCTTTCTGTGTCTTACCCTCTTGCTTGAGGGTGTCAATGATGGCCTTCTGGACAGCAGTCAGGTCGGCAGTCTTACTCATGATTGCGGTTTTGAGTAATGAAACGGGCTGGGAGCTTTTAAAAGCCTCAGGAATCTTTTGCAGGCGTTTAGAGTTAATTAGATGATTCAGATGATTAGGTTAATACGTAGCTCGTTTTGAGAACCTTTTCATGTTATGCCAATTTTTTGAGACACGAATTTTGGGACATGAATTAGATATGAATCTAAAATATATGAAAGTTTAATTTTTATCATTACATTATGGAAAATAATGAACTTTATCACAATATGCTATTTTTTTGAGAAGGACCTGTACATACACTGAACAAAATTATAAATGCAACACTTTTTACCCAAATTTTTACCCAAAATCAAAAAGATCTAAGACTTTTTCTATGTACACAAAAGGCCTATAATTTTGTTCAGTGTAGCCTATATATATATATATAGCCTATATGCTGTGGACCTGTGGTGGAGAGCAAAGGCTGACACATTATTTTTCAGTGTGCATTTATAGATATACAGAGGCTGCTGAATTTTAATAGTCTTGCCAGATACGGCACGATTGAGGGAAGACGCGTGCAAGCATTGGGGAGCAGAGAGAAGGATTTTACATAGACAGATATGGAAACAGCTCAGAAATAGATATGAGAGGACAGAGCAAGTGCAAATGCAGTCAAGAATATGAGGGAAAAGAGCACAAGATAGATAGATAGAGAGAGAGAGAATGTCTCAGGTAGAGTCGCTGGAGAGCAGAGAGAGGGATTGAGGAAGAGTGATGTGCTGTCATATCTCTCCGTCTGTTCATCTCTCACTCTTTCCTCACCGTCAGCACCAGAACAAAGCGTGTGCGCGTGTGTTGCCATTCTCACCACTGCCTTCTGTATGTGTGTGTAAGACACAGCCCAGTCAATATCAATCTAGATTAACGTCCCGGTGAAAAGAGCCACAAAACACAACGGATGTCCATTTTATTGGCAGCACTTCTCTCTCAAAAACACTCTTCAAGAGGTTTTGTCATCCACTTTCCTCATCATTTACTGTAATTAATTACCCAATAGAGTACAATGGTGCCTGCTCACTTTTTTCCATTCATTTCTCCCATAGGGATTCAACAAAAATCTCCAATAATGCTAATAAATCAAGCTCTCAGGAGAATCATAACATTAATAACTTTGATTTGAAGCAAAAAAAGGACAAAAAGAGAAAAGGACAAGACTGTGTATGCTTTAGTGAGGGAAAGAATTACAATCCCATGAAGCAGTGCGAATGAAATATTCTAATTAAAAACAATTGGGAAATATGTACAAAATGTACTTTAAGTTTATTGCAAAATATACATATTTAATACAAATAATCGTAGGAAAATCAACTGGATTAAGTCATTCGCAGTGCTTCATGGGAGTGGGTGGAGCTAAAGAGCTCTTTTTCATCACGACTCTCTGATTGGTTGAATATTCTGTACAGCATTATGGGTAAGGTAGTTTTCAGGAATTCTGCTGTTAACCCTATTGGTTTAAAGATATTAAGCTGATGCCATCGATTAACAACCTCGTTGCTCACATTAGGTCTTTCAGTAAAGGTTTACAAGTTGTTGTTAAAAATCTATTTCCTTATAAGTTTTTAACTTCTAGAACCGACTGTCTCACTTAAATAAAGACACACATGATCATCTAATATAAAGCTATTGGTTAAGCATCTTATTCACATAGTTCTTATGTTCAATAAGACACAAAGAATAGCCTTGTTATATTAATATGTTTATTTGAATATTAACATGTTCATATTGAGTAGGCACACTATATGGAAAGAAAGGGCTCTGATAGTTTAGTCTGCATGCCTGCTGAATTAAAAACATGAACAAGAACAATAGAAAACATGCTCCCATAATGTCAAAAATAATTTACGGGTGTAAATAATATTATTCAGATTAATGCAAACAGCTTTATGCATTTACATGGGTGTGTGTAAGTGAATATAGTGAATGCATCAATATAGCAATACCGCAAGAAAATAAACATATACTTCTGTTAGCGTATCCATGAGTAGTTTGTGCATTTGAGGCTAACGTTCACTTGATTTGTGTGCATCTTGTTCAGAGCCGATAAAAGCTAAAGTCAACAACTTCAGTGCATAATAATCCACTAAATTCAGCTGTTCGATGTGTTTATATTATTTCAGATAAAACTAGAGGGAAGCGCATCTAACATCAGTCTGATTCTCTTCCCGGAGTCTATGGATCTAAAGGCAAACCTCGCTAATAAAAGAGCAGGAAGGGAATGTCTATTCATTAATTATCCTTCGACATTTGTGCATTAGTTTTTGTTTTTCTAAGCGTCTTGAAGATCAAAAAGGATTCTTAGTGTTTGCCTTTTTTGTTACTTGAAGACTCTGAGAACGACTGAATCACTTTTTTTTATCCTAACATCAAAATTCATTATATATATTTTAAAGTAAGTCTTTTTTATGTGATTATCAAAGAGTTTTACTATATTGTACAGCCCTAGTATATGCTATAAAATGTGATTAAAAAAAATAATTAAATTAATAATTCCTATTCTAGTAAATAACAAAAACGCCCTATAAGGTGAACGAATCGACAGTATGATGCTATTGAGTTTTTGTTGAATTGACTTGAACTCTGTGGTTAATGTACCATGAGATGGTCTCAAAGTTCAAATCAAAAACATCTCACATCTCATAATCTAATCCACACGAGTTGCTCGTTTAATTTTGTGGCTCATCAAGACAAACTCACTTTGAACCACACTGATATCTATACCAGTTTAGCAGCTACAAAACCAATGATCATTTCGGTTTCCATCCTCTCAGCCCTTCACAAGTTCTTCACAAGCCCTCTCGAAGGAAAAGGCCCCACAAAGGCATGAAATGGTAGCTAGTTTTTAATTGGAACATGCTTTTCCCCAGATTCCCAGTATTGACTCCATCCTGTGAGCCAGACAAGAGCCAATATGAGACGTAATCGACGAGGTCTAATCGATACCACTCAATTTTTTGGATCTTGAATGCGTCTTGTAAGATAGACCTTCCATCATAGGCATGGCCGGACAGCGTGTAGCCTATTACTGTAGCCCTCAAAACATCTCTGGTTAATCAATGTCGGGTCTTCGCTGTCATGGATCGGTGTTTGCGACCGCGTCGAGGCCTTTGAGGAAGGTGTGTGATATTGCGGAGTCATGCTACAATCCAGGCAAGTCTCTTAGTGTTGAGAAGTCTTGTTGATGCCTGAGGCTCTTGTTTGATACAAAGGTGACAATGATCAAAGGGTACAAAGACAGTTCGTTTGATTCAGAACTTTCATGTGCTTCCAGGTTAAAAAGGTAACAGTGAATGGCCATGTCGTATTAACAGTGATGCCTTTGTGAGGATCTCTATTCAAAAAGATACAGTGAATGGGACATTTTTCTCCAAAATAATGCTCAGTCTCGCTTGTACACATTTCAATAATGCCTAAAAGTACATTTTCTTCCTTTCCTTGTCTTTCCCAATGGCAGGATGAGACTTCACAGAGTCATATCGTCTATTTTTCTTCTTCTTTCTCGTTTCTCCATTTCACAGCTTCGAGCTCAGTTGCTTCATCCTTCCTTCTAATTGAATTCGACCATGAGTCAAACCCAAGATTGGCTCCAGATCAAGAGATGAGGGTATAATGCATTTGGTCCGGCGATGAAAGAAGGATTTGGGGTGAAACGCAGATCCCTGTCGAAGGGTGGGCTTGTCTTTTTAAGAGACCTGGTCACAGTCACAGTGCACTTCAGTCGGCGGAATTCGTAATCACGGGCTCTTGCTTTTGATGGATGACGAGGGAATTCAAGCTCAGGGACATACAGAGACAAAGAGACAACTAACCAAGCAAGTCGACCAGACATCTTACATTAAACTAAGAGACGGCAGACACAAGAGAGAGAGAGAGGAAGAGACAAGAAGTATTCAGACGTGCAAAGGGTGGAGTCCTCATGTCACTATTGTATAGGTTTACATGTGAAGAGATAGAGAGAAAGATAGCTTGTTTAGGCATATAGACAGACAGACAGACAGACAGATAGATAGATAGATAGACAGACAGACAGATAGATGACAGACAGAAAGACAGATAGATAGGTTTGCTAACAGGCTGTGCGCTGGCAGGAATAGAAGTTAAAGTGCTACACTTCAGAATTACAACAAACCACACAATTCAGCATCAAGTCTTTCACATCGTCCAAAAGTGAACATCAACAGTCCAGACGATTGTTCGAGGTTGTGTTTGCTGTAAAGAGCCACTGAAGCTCAGTTTCGATCAGTGGGAGGTATAGATCCGCTGGATAGAGAGTAAGGAAGACAGCAGGGGCTGAACGTGGACGGTATGGAAGATGGACCGGGAACGCAGGATCTCCGGGAACGCTCGAGTTACGGCGAACTCTCCAGAGAGGCTGAAAACACAGAACAGAGAAAAGACAAAAGTAAGAGAGGAACGCAAACACAAACAACAGAGAGGAATTAATAAAGAGAAATTAAAGAGGAGATACTGAGAATGAGATAAATAAGATATCTTTAATGCAATACTTGGCCAAAAATATGTGGACATCCCATTTAATGAACAGGTTTGGCTGGACTCCATAATTCAGTGAAGAAAAAAACAGAGGCTCTGTTCAGTTCCTGACACAGCGAGGTCAATGGAGAAATGATTTATGGTGCCTCGGGTAAAGAACTTGTCTGGCCTGCATAAAAGCCACCAGCTGGACATGAAAAAGTTGAGTGCTGGCTGGGCCAGCCCGTTCTCATCCTTTAACGTCATATAGAACGCTATATGCAAAAACGGCGATATACTACGCACATGGCACCCTTTATCGTTATAACACGCGAACCCAAGACGTTATAAATCCTTTAGCGTGAATATGACACGCACACCCTACCCCACACCTAAACTTAGCCCTCACAGCACGTGTTATATTAACGATAAAGGGTGCCATGTGCGTAGTATAGCGCCGTTTTGTCATATAGCGTTCTATAAGACGTTAAAGGATGAGAATGCGTTGGCTGGGCTTTACTAAGAAAAGAAAGTGAAGCCACCACACCGTCTGATTTCAATGTGTTAACGTCACCTAATTAGTCTTGTTTTTTTTCTTACAATGCAAACGTCCTTATCAAGGCTTGACATGAACTTTATTTGCTCTCTAGCCATTTGGCTAGTGGTTCTACAGAGTTATAAGCCACTCAGCATTTTCATTGGCCACAATTTTAACATCTATACCATGGGGAAAAAACTGCCATATAGATATTTTTAATAGTATCTCATAATTCGACAGCAGGTTTATTAGGCTGCTGTCACTTTAAATGCTGACGCACAGATCCATTACGCTGTTACCATAGACTGTAAAAAATATGGACGTAGTGTCTGTGACGTCACCCATTGGTTTCTGAAGAGCGTTTTTGAAGCCTAAAGTGGGCGGGGCCGGCTGTCGCCATCTTGGCAGTGCGTCACCTCTCGTCACTACCGGATAAATTAAAATGGGCAAAGAGGCGGGACGCGGGTGGAGCTGAGGTGCTAATGCTATGCTACTGCCGCTGAATTGACAGCTGATTGAAAAAGTAAAGCCAACGGTTAAAGTTCATGTTTTGCCCTTCGAAATATTATAATAGTTAAGACGTAACTAAAAGTGAGACCATTTACTTTTTTATCAACTTTATTCATCTCACAAGGGGCAATCAGTTAAGAGCATGTATACAAATACATTAACACAGATCACACACATTTCTCACAACATACAAGCAGTCAACTATGTGTATCGTGATGCATTTATTCTGCTAGTTAAAAATGTATTAATTACTTACAATATTGCTCTAAACTTGTGCATGAGACAGTGATTCAAGGCAAGCACACATGTCAGTCGGCATCTCACGTCAAGTTCGTAAAGAGCTTTATTCAGTCCATTTTACAATCTGATTTTGGCCGCCTCTCAGTTTCTCAGATGGGTCAAACCAAAGATATTACTTCAGAACTTCAAGTAAATGAACTAGAAATCCGCGCTCATTCAAGGGTGTGCATCTATTGCATGGACGGAGAGAAAGCACTGAAATTATCAGACATCCATTAGTGCATGCGAGGGAAACAGCTGGAAACACGGCGCTGGTTGTTCTCTCCATACTCAACACGACAGAATCCAACGGCGTGCACGGGCGAAGCTATAATACATGTATTAAATTGTATGAAATAATCCCGGAAAAGCACAAACACAGCTGAGGGTGATGCTAACAGACAGCAGACAAACGACTAGCAGTGAAAGCGGCGGAAAGAATCCACCTGTCACTCAAGTGTCCACGCCCTTAATTATGCAGAACTTTAAGGCTTAAATATAATTTAAACAGATGAGTTGTAAAAAAATTCACCCCCCTCACAGTTGTCATGAAGGGAAAAATGAGCTCTATAGACCAAAGCCACTTTTTGCTCCAGGCTGTAAACATGTTTTTTTCTGCTGTAAAGTTGGGCATTTTAACATGGGGGAGATACAGATTTGACTCGCTTCTGCAGCCTGCCTCAAGCGGCCACTCGATAAATTGCAGTTTAATTCACTTCCGTGTTGGCTTCAAGAGAGAGACGGGGAGGTTGCCGCTTGGCTGTTACACATGCGCTTTCTTTCTCACCTGTTTATGCTCATTTTAAAGGGGTGATGAACTGAGAAATCAAATTTTCCTTGAGCTTTTGACATCTAAGAGGTCATCATATTATAAGAATATCCTGTAAGTTTCAGAACTGAAAACATCCTTGTTAGTCCAATAAAAGCTTTTATTGACACAGCCTCTAAAAACGACTCGTTTTTAAAAGTGGGGAACTATGATGACAAAGAGGATAAAGCACCACCCCCGCAGAAGATGATCAACGCCTGCTTCAACACGACCGGTTTAGCCCCGCCCACCGATTCGCGCATTACACACATAAGTATCATACATGTACATGCTTAACTCGTGATGACAAACTGGATTGCTAACCGAGCAATACAGAATATTGTGCAGTGCCTGGTTGTGCAAGACAGTCGCTGCATAAGCTTCCTGTGGATTCCAATAGGACTGCATGGATAAACTTTATTTTTAATGACGTTCCAGCTGATGAGGTAAAACATCGTCGTCTGTTCGCTTCATTTCACTGAGGATTGTTTTGTCAACAACAAGACTGGATTTGCAGACCGATTAAGAGTAAAGAACGTGCTGTGCCGTCTATATTGGATCTGACAGGAATATTGTGCAACACACGGACTCTGGGTCGAACATGTATGGGCGAATCCGGTTGCCATTTGACAACATTGGACGTTTTCCCCCACGTACACCGACGGGTGAGTGAAACTCATTATAATATGCAAAACTGTTCTCCACTCGCAGCAGTGGGTGTTTACTTCCAAGTCTTCAGTGCGACACGCCCATAAAAACCGACTGTTTTTTAGGTAGGCTCACAACCAGGGTACAAAATAGCCTATTACTTGTTCATTCAGATGTTTTTGAATGCAAAAACCAAGCGAACGTTATAAGTTGACCTTAGACAACAATATAATAACATTTAAAAAGCCAGTTCATGACCCCTTTAAAATAACTGACTCTTTATGTGAATACATTTTGACATTATTTTATGTGTATTTAAGCGCAATAAGCAGTGAAAATAACTTATTTTAGTCCTGAGAGGCGGCTTTATGTGCGCATACTTTTCACAAAATCTGTGGGAATGAGTAAAATGATGCGCAATACATGCAATCCCGTGGCGAAATTCAAGCCCTGTGACACCAACAATATTCATCCGGAGCGAATGAAGAGTGTGAGTGATTCGAGGTGATTCGCCATTTGCTTTGATTATGTTTTCTTTCTATTAATAAACGACACACGCATTCGTGTGCTCAAAGTGAGAAGTTGTCTGTTGCAACTTACTGCTTATTAAATTATGTTATTTTCGAAATTTTGCTCTCGGGGTCCCCCTACAGTTGGGAAACAATATTGTCTTCTACTGCTGTCGTAAAATCTGTCATGGTTACACCAGGGAATACACATGTGCATTTGTTGACAAGCGATACCCCCGAACTCTGCAGAAGGAAGGAGTTCTCACATCTTGGGCAGACTCCAGTGTTGAGTGTGAAATGTCTTCATTCCAGGTACATTGGCATATATTTCAGCATGTCTTATGAATATTGTGTCATGGCCTTTATTTTTTTCAAACTTCAAACGATCGCGTAGCTCACGTTTACAAGCCACCGTCTTTATAGTAACAATAACCTATTGACTACTGTTTTACATAATGGATATGCTATTTCAATTCAATGTTTGTGTGGTAGATAATAGCCATGTCGTCAATATTATAATATCAAGGTACCATAGAATCTAGATGAATCTGCAAATTTGAAAAATCAATTTGCATTATAGCCCGAGGAAAGACACTTTCACCAGAAAAATAAATAACAAACATGACTATCAGCCTGCAGACTTAGGATAGTTATCCTGACCGCTTATTTTGTCCGTCCAATCATATATTATTTACTTGCAAGTATGTAGGTCCTACCAAATTCAGTATCAGTATACTTTCACGTCTCGAGCTGGCGCGAGCTGCCCGCCCCGGCTCGGGGATGCTTGAGTGTGTTAAGCGCGCTCAAAAGAAAGCAATGCAGTCTACACTGAAGGCGGCGAGGGGCGAAGCTACGCAACACATTACCAACAGTAAACCGATTGCCCGCACGCTCTGTTTCTGACGCACTTCACATTTGGTTTTACTTGCTGCTTCAGTCATGACAACATACAGTGGTAAAAAAACAAAAAAAAAAAAAAACGCTCGTTGGGCTCTCGCGTCGGAATTTGAGGAAGTGGGGGATGTGATGTACGCCGTAAAGTGGTCGAATATTGTAGTTCTTTTTGTGCTTGGGTTCCTACCCACTACCCAAAGTTACATAGTGCCAGTAAAAGCAATACAGACACCGTCAGGCTATGGCAGACCTGTCATTCAACCTATTGTAGGTCGATGTACCATCTCAAGGGTTTTTTAAAAATATTATAAAGGTTGAAAAAACTACATAGTGCTGCTTTGATAGTGAGAGCGAGTTACGTATAAAGCCTTGTTCACAGTACATGATTTTAAAACTTCCGTGCGGTTCACACTACATGACTTGCTCTGTGAAATCAGGAGTGTTCAAGTATGTTAATAAAATATTTCTTTAAATTGATTGACACGCCCAGTGATTGGTGATTTTCTAGTGCACAACTGCGCATGACATATTGTAATAAAATTACTTTTAACACCACCTACTATGTGGCCTTTTTACCCTAAACTGATCATATTTTTTTAAACTCTAAGTAAATTCAGTAAAATAAAAAAAGGATTTCTCTAAGTAAATAAAAGTAAATTATGTAATCAACCCTCACTGGTCTCGGTCTCGACTCGGACTCGACCATCTCTGGTCTC